CACACCGCGATTGCACGATAGCGTGATACCGCGGTCGATGGAACCTCACCAGGAGAGCACGATACACGGGTGATGGAATAATACGACTGCGTGAATGCGCCAAACCACGGAATAGCACTCTTCGGCCAGAGTACCAGCGATGGGACGCCAACGGCCACGAAAGAGGCCGTACTAACAAGTATGATCCCAAAAGAGAGGTCGTATAACCAATAAGCAGCGTGGGTCACCGGTGGGCAGGTAGCCACGAAGCCAGAAAGATCACGGAAGAGCGCCGGCCACTGTCGAACATGACATCCAACCTGTAGTACGGGGTAACGGAAGCGTACCAAACAACGATATTATACGGGTCCGCATGAGACTACGGAATGGTAAATAGTTAAGTACACGAAGCCAAGATCTACTGGGGTGAACGACGCTAACAAAGTACGCGACACCAAGAAGCACTTAAATTTGCGGCCACCTCATCTCCAACAAACCATGCCACTCCGCCGCGTAGCGGCGGCGAACGGCTAGTCTTAAACATCTACTGCAGCAACCTGTCTGTCCGTCACACTAAATTGTCGTGCCTGTCACGCTTTTCCGGACAAATCATTGGATAAAATAATTTAAATATTCCTACTGGCTGCCGAGCGCAGCGAAGGTGGCTTCAATTGGTTAAAACTAGAATGTGTAGTTGACATCAATAAATGCATGTGTTTCCCAGTTTACATATGGGGATTTGCACAAAGTCCGAAGGCGGCATCGTTTAAATATTAAATACTTTTTCATAATGCATGTTGTTATTGATATTTGAATACTACAGTAAACGGAGGGCAGGGTGCTTAGCGTACACGTAAGCATGCGTGTTTCCGAGGACATGGTTTAAGTACCGTATTCCGTATGTGATTGGCGACGCTCGGTCATTAGCGACAAATCCAGCAGCCAATCAAATTGATTCAAATTTCGTGTCGTCGCGCTTTATGTGCTTTACGACCAATATAATTTTGAGCATGTCATATAGTTTTTTTTATGCAGGTATCTTTTATGCTGGCAGAAAGGCTGGACCACCTCAAGAATTTGACTGTCGCCAATCACATAAGGAATACGGTATACTAAATACTCTGTACTCAGTAGGATCTGTGTGTTACACTTACTAAAATGAAATTTCATTTTTTTTACTGCAAAAATATTAGCATTAATAAGTTATCTGAGTGGGTTTCTGGTATTGCTAAATCGTACATGTTACATGTACAGCAGTAGCCGGTCGTGTAGACTGGCCGTAAGAACAAAACTGTGCTTATAAACGTTGTCACTTGATCCACAAAGATATATAGTGTTAGATTGACGTGTGAACAAAAAGAAGTTATATGTGCTGATGACAATTACTACTGTAAGCGAATTGAACTTGACCATTCTTTCCTTAGCCGTTTTTTTAGACAACAAAATTCTGATACTTCTTAATAGGTAGACGCGTTGCCGACAAGGGCGTAGAATAAGGTTTTATATGCAGTGGTAAGATAATAGCACAACATGAGAGGTGTCAGTTTTGGTTATTATAAGTAGGCCCGTAAAGAAACGTTAATCAACTTAGAGCCTAATATTTTGGAATCATCAATTAAGTATCAAATAAAAATACCGCCGTCAACAACAACAACAGCAAGGCGTCTTGCGACGCATGGTTATATTCAAAGGCTATAACCATAACAGGCACAGATTGGAGTGTCTAATGACTAATTCTGAATCAGCACAAAATGAACACACTTCAAGGCATAAAAAAATGCTACAGCTTGAATATTTTTATTAAATATTCAAACTGTAACACTTTTAATTTTCTTTCAAAGTAGCGAGTTTGGTTTGCGAAGTGGTTAGTTAATGGGCAGTTTATTACAAGCTTAACCAGGCAGTACAAGCGGGTATTTGATGCAAGCTGGACAGATATTCTTTGCATTGATGCAATCTAGGTCTCAAAAAGCGGCCCGTGAAATCGAGCACGGCGCTAAACTAAATATTTTATTTAGCGGTTTTTAGACTGAAGTGCAGGTGCTTCTGTTAAGGTACAGTGATAGCTACAACAATAAAGAGACTTTGTTAAGATCACTAGCGTAATCGTTTATGAGCATGGTAAGTATGATGCTAGGGGCTCAGTCTTTTGTACCGGTAGAAAATATTTACACGGCTTACTGAGAACAGCATTTTGTAGCAAATGAAACGCAGATTTATGAAATTAAAGAAGTCGATTTAGGCACATGGGGGACTCAGAGGATTTGGACTAATTATCCCGCCGAAGCGAAGCGAAGGCGGGAAGGCAAAAATCTGGAGTAAAACCGAAATTACCGCCGCGTAGCGGCGGCGCTCGGCTAGTTTAAATCAGAGGGCGTTCTGTGGTCGACTTGTTCGGGTCAATATTTCTTCTTCTTGGGCATTATGGGTTTGGCACGTATTGGCTGGAGCTTCGGGCTGGCCTGCAAGTTCGCAAAACTTTTGGCTGCTCGCTTTTGTAGCTCCAACCTAGTTAATGGTCGGTCACCGTCCTCATCGTCACTCCTGGGCGATTCTGGCTCATCCTCAGCTATCGAGGTGTTCACTGAAAGTCGTCTATCGAGACTGAAATCGATGCTCATCGAACTACCCGTCACTGCCGACTGCACGGGGCTCGTTGCTAAGGAAGAGCTTGCTCCTTCGTACCCACTGCTAGATGTAGGGCCATCCAAAAACTCGGGTAGAAGTGCACGCACAGCATTGACAGATCGCGTAGGGTCGCTGGGGCGTAGATTCGCTCCTAGCGAGGCACGTTGAGCTTCCACTGGGCTCTTGTATTGTATGCGACGAGAAAACTGCTCGATAAGATCGTTGCTTCGCTGCTCAATGATCTGTTCAATATGTAGCCAGCACCGTGAAGGAAATGGACGCTAACAAGAGTGGCAAACAGCAGCAACTAACCGCTAGAAACTGGAGAATATTTCCTTCTGTGATACCTTGAGCAGCCAAAAGATCATTCATGGAGTTAATGCGTGCCTATAGAATATCCAAGCAAAGGCAGTGAATGAGATAATGAGAAATCTGTGGGTTCTAAAGCCTGCAGAGCAGCATGATCCTACCACCATTGCAAGCTGGTCCTCGGACTGTTTTCTCGTTCGCTTCGAAGGGTCAGAGCCATTTCCACCGGACGCTCCAACTACCGGCTACAACAGGAACGTTGTGAGACGGATTTCACCAATGCATTCGGAAGAAAACTCACCGGCATGACGTCGTTGCAGCCCAGTGCGTTGTAGAGTCGGTCAACAACCCGTGCAAGCGGCTGAAATTCTCTAGCAGCTGCAGCTCGAAGCCGCTCTACCTCTGCGTTTTCTTTCAGAATACTAGATAAGTAAAACGCGTAGTTGTCAGCATTCCGAAGCCTCTCGTGGTTCTACAGCTGCAAACGTACTTTTGGCGCGTCTCGACAAGGTCGTCGACCATGCGCTTTCGAGCGTTAGCACTGCCGTCTTGCATTTCGCTCTTCAGTCTACAATATGCAAACAACGGTGCGTTTGTCGATATACCTTAATAAACAATCAACATGTCAGCGCTACGTACTTCTGGATCTCTCGCTCCAGAGCCTCTTTTTCATCCTCAAGCTGCTCCACTTCGTTGTTGGTGCTCTGAACGTAGCGAAAGAGGGCGAAATTCTCCTCTTCCTTCCTGGAGTACACTTCAACGAGCTCATGATAGTCGTCCACTCCCATCTCCTGCTGCAGAGCCGCAAATGTTGTCTCAAACTCCTGTAGCTTCTCGTTAATTGATGCGATATTCTGCTTGTCTTCCAGCATCTACACAGCGCACCAGTGTCAGAAGTGAGTCCATTCCTTACCGAATTACGATCCATTACCGTCATATCGAGCTTTTGCAGTGTTTTCTTGAGCTGCAGCTCATCCTCCAGCTTCATATTCCCACGAACAAAGTCGTCGGCAAGATCCATCGGATCCTGCTCGAGAATCTGCTTCCGATAAGCCTCAGCGCTCTCTTTCTCGCGCTTGATTATCGATGCAAGACTCTGATAGACCTGGTCGAAAGCCTCCTGCTCGTCCACGTTTTGACCGGATAAAGAGTTCGCCTGCGATAGAATCTACAGAGATAAAAAAAATGACACATAAGTGTCAACAAGTGTTCAAGCTTTAGTCGGTAGAGTGTACGCACCCGGTCGCGCTCGGCTACGATCTGAGTCGACTGGCGGAAAGTCTCTTGCATTTGCTTCTGAATGTCACGCAGACGACGTTGGTTCTTCTCGAACACGGTCTGGCTCAGTACTCGGTTGGCTCGCAGCTCGTCCACGCGGTTGCGAAGTTCAGCATTGTATGCAGCCATTTTGCTCTCACGGGTTTTGCACGCCGAGAGGCGGTTCTCGAGCTTCATGAGCTCTCGTTGCTCGTCCGCCATACGAGTACGAACCGCATTAACGCCTCCACCACGTTGATCACTCTCGCCACGCTTTAATCGCAACCCTTTAAGCTCTTCGTGGACCTTTTTCCAGTGATCATCCAGTTGACGCAGTCGATGCTTCTGTTCTACAAGTAACCGAGCATACTTGTCTCCTTGCACTTGGAGATTGAAAAGGTGCTCACTCTGCGCCTTAGCTTTCGTCTTGGACATTGCGAAGCTTAATTCCTCCAGGAATTACGAAGGAAATGATGAAACGCGCAAGTATTTTTGGTCTCGTGGGGGCATCCACAGCATCCTTCGTATTTGCCTGCGATGTCACGGAAAACACCTCGTTCGAAGCTTTTAGCTGGTAAAGGAATCCAAGAAAGATTTGTGCCCTCGAGGCCTCAGAAGCTTCCTACAATGAAACGCGGGGGCAGCCTTCGTGTGGGTCGTCTTGTATTTGTACGGCCATGGAACGAAACATTTTAGAAACCTCAGTAGCTTGTGCTGAGGTTGTTCGTGTTGGACAGGACGCTCGGAGTTCCTCAACGTGGGATAATCAGTCGTCAAGTGTATTTGTACAGGAAGAAGAGCGTCGAGTTCAAGAGGAGCTAGCTGAAATGCTCGTGGTCAAGCTCGCAAACAAGGAAAAGGAAGTGGAAATCTTGCGGTGCAAGCAGAACGTGGTGGATCAGCAGTTCGCAGGATACGATCGGCAACTACAGCAACAGCAGGAAGCGCATGCACGGGTCGTTGGTGAAATGACGGTGATGAACCAGGAGCTGCAGCGACAAGTGCAACTTCTGCAGATCGAGTGTGAACGGGTACGATCGAAGCTGCTGAGCTCTTCCTTTTCATCTTCAGCGCTAATACATTCTGTAGCTTCAAGTTGATAGTGAAGCGCAACACGCTGCTGCACTTGAGCAGAGGAGGCTGCGTGAGAAAGAGCAAACACAAACCAGGCTCAATAACGAGACAAGCCAACGAGTTGTGCAAGAGCTACGAGTAGAACGACAACAGATTGCCAACGATCGATTCGCTCTAGAAAGCACAATACAGAGAATGCTACAGGATCAGCAGGCTCAAAGCAGCTCGCTAGCTCAGCTCGAAGCGAGGTGTGCTCAGCTCGAAGACGAGCTTCAAAGTGCAGAAGAAAGTTGCCAGCAGCTCCAAGAGGTGTTGTGAGTTTGCTTGTTGTGAGGTGGATCTAGCATCTCATTATTGAGTGTCGAGCAGGCTTTGGGACACGAAGGGCAGCAGCGTAAGGATGTTGAAGCAACTTCGAGGAAGCTCGAGGAGGAGAAACTTGCTCTGGAAGAGAAGCAGCGGGCACTGATGAAGGTAACGCTCGTCGACTTGGCTGCTGTAGACGGAGGCTGACTGATCCGTGTGCATTAAAGACCCTCAAAAGTGCTAGTT